GAGGGGGAGAAAGGAACACCCCGCTCGCCTTCTCTGCCTCACTGCATGGCGGGAGTTGGAGTTCCCGACCGCGGTGGCTGCGCAGCCCGACCTGGCCCGCGCACTACAATTCCCAGAGTGCATCCCGCGGCCAGCTGTCTGCCTCTCCCCACACGCCCCCTCCTTTCTCCTCCACCATTCGCCCCTCTTTGGGTCAGGGGTGCAACTGGAGCCCGAAACCCAGGCACGCATCGCCTCTCTGGGGAAGGCGCAGGTAGGGGGGGTGTCTTGCAGAGGGACCCATTGAAGGCATCGGGGCAGCTGCATGGGGGTGGGGGTGCCGTTTGTTAGGAGGGGGGAAGGAAGCAGCGGAGGAGGTCCCCTAACGTGTTTTCCTCTGATCTTTGGCTCTCTGCCTCGTTTAAGGCTGGACGTTTTCTAGGGCTTGGTCTGCACTGGACAAAGTTCCCACGCCTTGATTGACATTGACGAAAGAAAAGTGGGAGGGGGGAGGCATTCTTTCCTTGCCCCTCAATATCTTGTTTTGAAGTCAACAGAAGCTAGTAATTTACTTCAGGGTAAACTTACTTGAAAGTTGCTGTGTGCCTTTTAACTTGTTGCTGGGGAGCCATTCCAAAAGAGAAATCCTGTTGAATTGTTCATTGATCAGGGCCATTCTAGTATTTGGATAAGTTTCTTTAGGTTACTGTTTTTGTTTTTAATATTCCTGATTTTCCAGGGTTTGTAAATGGATAACTTACATTTGCAGTTTTGTAAAGAGGCTTGCCAGTATTTGGATGGTAGACATAGAGGAAGGGATTTCTCCATAGCTAGGATAGAACAACAAGCTGCTAACGGGTTGTAAAAAAAGGTTAGTAAAAACAATAATCTTCCATCAAATAGTGATGGAGAGGGGAACAGAGTGGTAGAGAAGGGGCAGATCACTCTGTTCCTCTCTGGCCTGTTCAGTCACCTGCATGGAATTTCTTGTCGTCTATGGTGACCAGTGAGTTTTTAAACACAAGGCTGCATTATTTGCATCATCCTTGTCCATGTAGAGTAGAAAACATAAATATTCTTCTTTGGTATTACAGCAAGTTATGGATAATCCACACTGTAACCCTGTGTTAGACACTTTAAAGGTAAGACTGCAATTAAGCTAGTCAACTTGGTGGCTCCCGTAGAAAGATGTAATAAAATATTCAACTTGGTTTTGCAAAATCTCTCTAATATTTATTCAGAAATAACATCATTTCTCCACTTCATGAAATTGGTCACTCTGTACAGTTTATTTTTATGAATATTCAACATTTATAACCTTTAAAAAAAAGTTTGGAGTGATGAACTCGGAAGACTGTCCTGACAGCTGCTTCTGAAATATGTGTGATTTAGTTATCCTCTAGACAGAGAACTTTTATCTACCCAAAGAAGTAGCTCCTAAAATTTAGTCTCTGTATTTAATGTAGTAATTATGTATTGCTATCAAACAAGATTATTGACCCATCTATTCATTGCTATTAATACTTAGTAGATTTATATCAAATTTCTTTGGTTTCCTTTTCCAATAAACTAGGCCCATATCCTCAAAACTTTCTTTCAATAATAAGTAGCAGTAAACTAATTTAGCTGGTATCCAGTGAACTGTTGAACAGTAAACATTTACAAGTGCGGTAGAACATCTGAGGTTCTTCTGATCTGGTTTCTTGAACAGATTATCACTGAATGCCTTGAATGCTTGGAAATTGAGAGGAAAGTGCTAATGGTTATGTGGCTATGTTGCAAAATTACAATGCAGTAATATTCACTTGGAATTAAGGCTCATTAAAAAATAGAGATTACTTTCAAATAAATCTCTTAAGAGTTCAAGTTGCAGCCTTACAGGTTTTATGAAGGGGTAACTGCTACTGAATTTCAAGGATAGACTGTTGCTCAATGGCATTTTCTTCTGAGTAGGCATGAACTGCATAGAAATGCATCCTCATAGTAACATGTAAAATCACACTTTAGCATGTTTGTTAAGAAATAAATATTGAACTAGAAGTAAAGTACTCTGTTTTGCCCTGTTGGTCTTCAATTTGAGATGCCATTTTAACACACATCTCACTTAAATATTTTTAAGCTAATTTAATTTGTTGTGTTTTGTTTTTGAAAGAAATAAGTTATAACTCAACTGAAAGTTTTATTTTTGTGCCTTTGTGATACACATGATTGACTTTGAGCTTGGAAGCTAAGCAACATCTTTTCTGGTTCATACTTGGATGGGAGACTGAAATTTCAGGGCTGTGGGTTGGAGGAAGACTGTGGCAAACCATTTTTGTACTGTTGCCATGAAAATGTTATGAACAAGTCTATGAATCATCAGGGTCAAGCTCAGTTTGAAGGAGATATGTTGTTTAAAGCTTATTGAAATAAAAAGATTCTAGCCAGACATGGTTAGGCAGGTAAAGATGGGTATAGACAGATTTTATTTCAGAGAATGTTTCAGAGCTTTGGTGCAATGTCAGAAAAGTCTTCTCATGAACATTTGTTGCATGTCAGTTAATGAAAGTAGTTTGGTATAAGAAAGCACACTTTAAACTGATTTGAACCAGATCATAATTTCAAGCAATAGTTTTTGCAGAAACTCATCATCCATTCACCACCACCAGCCCCCCATAGGAAACATCAGCTGTTTTTTGGCTTGGTATTCTTTAAGGAAATATGGGGTCAGAAGTGGGGTGCTGAGAGGCCATATATTTGCCTGAACTGTATAATGCATCTGTTGCCTAAGGAAAACCAGGAGAACTTGAGTTTAGGCTGCAACCTTCTGACCACAAGACTGATTAGATTTTCCTCTTTGAGAGCAGAGAAAATGGCCCAGTTTTGGAGGGGATAATCTAACACTGAATTCTTCTTCTTATTCTCCTTGGAAATAACTGCAGCTCTCCCTTGTTGTAAAGCTCTGATTTTAGGACAGGAGAAAGGAAGAAAGGGAAAGTCATTGAACTATTCAAAGGCTTCTCATATGACCCCATCCTTGGAGAAAATGTAAATCAGCTCCTGAGGTACTCAAGTGTTTCTCTCCTGTTGCTTGCAATTGTCTTTCCATCCTCATTTCTGCCCAGGTGGCCTGTTGCTGATGAAGCATTTAAAATGCTGAAGCACTTTGGTGGGGTAGTATTGCCCAATTCTAATTTCTATTATAGATGATAATTTAACCACACAAGGAGTGCTGTGTATAAACATTGATATCTTCTGGCTCCTATTTTGTGAATGTGTTTGTTTTCAGATGGCCACAGAATTTTAAATAAATATGAATTCATAGCATACTCAGAATAGTTCTGGTACCTAAAAGAGTGGTGGGAAAAAAAAATCCTTGGCTACTGTAGTACCTGTGTTTATTTCATTAAAATGAAGTGACTTGTTAATCTAATTGAAATAGATTGTACTAAGCCATAATTTGTTTTGTTCACACATTTTGCTAATCAAAACAATCTGTTTCAGTTTAGAATTATGGTAAACTAGGCCATTATGCTTTGTTCAATAAATTGTGGTAAAAAATCTTGGATCAATCTGTATGAACACAGACATCCATTAGAAGAGAATATATGTAGCTCAGGGTTGAACTGTGGAGTCCTTGGTGCTTTCCGAGCTTGGTTGTTTGCTTGCGGACATTTCATTACTTGACTAGGTAACATCATCAGTGCTAGTGAGCATGGAGTTTGCTCCCTGTTTATATACAGTAGCTTGCCCTGCCAGTGTTGGTGGAGGTGTGGTTTCTCTGTGTTAGTTCCTTGATTAGGGTATTGTTTTCTGCTTGATTGTTTGTTTGGTGTTAATCTTTGCTTATCTGGGTGTCCTGGAGAGGATGTGTTCTGATCTTTTTGTTTCCTTCTTACCTTTTTTTATTGTTTTTTTTTTAATGGTGTGTAAGTGTGGTTTATCTCTGTGTGTCTACTGATGGCTGATTTATTGATGCTGTAGTGGGTTGAGTGGTCAGGCACTTTTTGATAAAGTTGTGTGGGTATCTATTTTGTTGGAAGATGTTGTACAGGCAGTCTGTTTCCTTTTTCTAGTGTTTTGGGTTGCTGCAGTGCATATCACTCAACCCACTGCAGCACAGCCAACACAAGCTATAAAAAGGATAGTACTTCCATACACTAGAAACATCTCAGAAACAACCAATAGACTGTTACAACCAGATGGCATCACTGTAGCACACAAATCAACTAAAGCCCTCCAAAACATCTTAAGTAAACCACAAGACCCAGTGGCCCAAGAAGAAAAAACAGGAGTCATGGACAACATACAGTGTAAGGACTGTAATAACCACTAGGTAAGACAGACAGGCAGAAGGTTAGCAGAGTGCATACATGGACAGACTCAACCATAGTTTCAACTGGGAAATTGTGAGCACCCTATACCAAGCTAAATCCAAAAATGCTAGGGAATTCCTAGAAACTTGGCATTCAAACAAATCAGCCAACAATAGATACATTGAGATAAACCACATTTACATACCATTCAAAAGAGATATTAAAAAAAGAACTACCAAAGAGAGAACCACACCTCCACTAATACTGGCAGGGCAAGCTACTGTATATAAACAATTCCCTACTCACTAGCATTGATGATGTTACCTAGTCAGGTAATGAAATGTCTGCAAGCAAGCAACCATGCTCAGAGAGCACCAAGGACTCCACAGAACACAGACATGTTAAAGAAATACTTAGCTGTGGCATCAAATTTGTCCCTCTGTAGTATCCTTATATCTGTTTTGTCATGATCAAAATGTGCTTAAGAGCAGAATAAATTAACACAAGTGTTGTCTTCCATTATTACAGTGAATGTGATGAAAAGATCTGAAGTATGGAGTCCTTGGTGCTCTCTCAGCTTGGCTGAATAAAGATTACAATTGCATGGTTCTA